CCCCCGCGCCCCTCTCGGCAGCGGCGGGAGGGGCCCCGCCGCCAGCCAGGAAATTCCGCATTGGTTCCCCTGACGGCGGGCCAGGCTCCGGGGGCCGCCGGCTGCCGCCTCCCCAGCCGCGGGGTAGTCACCGCCCCGATGCTCCCGGGGGTCTCTCTAGCGGGTAGGCAGCCCCGCGGAACCGGCGGAGGGTTTCCCCAGGAGGGGGGGGGGTCGGGAGGGATGGCTGCGAAGTCCTGGCTTCCAGTTCAGCCCGGGGGTCCAGTAGCTCCCAGGTGCCTGAGAGTCCTGGGAGTCCAGTGGCTCCGGGGTTGGGGTGGCCGCGGGGTCCGGCAGCCCCGGGGGCCGGCTGTCCCAGGGGTCTGGCAGCCCCAGGTGCCTGGGGGACCCTGGGAGTCCGGCAGCTCCAGGTCGCGGCTGTCCCTGGGATCTGGCAGCCCCAGATGCGCAACAGCCCCGGGATCTGGCTGACCCGCGGATCCGGCAGCTCCAGGGGTCCAACGGCCCTGGGGTCGGGCAGTCTTGGGGGTCCAGCAGCCTCAGGTGCCCGACAGCCCCAGGGTCCGTCTGTCCTGGGGATCTGGCAGCCCCAGGCGTGTGACAGGACCGGGTTGTGGCTGTCCTGGGAGTCCAGTATCCAGGTGACCCAGGGATCCAGCAGCTCCAGGAGCCCGACAGCCCCAGGATCTGGCTGTCCTGGGGGGTCCGGCAGCCCCAGGTATGTGACAGTCCCGGGGTCCAGCTGTCCTGGTGGTCTGGCATCTCTATGTGTCCGGCAGTCCCGGGTCTCCAACAGCCCCTGGACCAGCCTGTTGGGAGCCACGCAGGGACCCGTGGTAGCCAAGTGGTGCCTGCAGTAGCAGAGCCAAGGGAGCACGATCCTGAACAGGGACAGAAGGGCTTCAGAGCAGCCACTGGTTAACCCACCATAAGGACACAGTTGGGAATTGGGGGAACACACTGGGCACCTGCAGCGGTCCCACACCTCTAGCCCGGTGCAGCAGCCCGGTCAATAAGCCTCCTCAGCCTGACGGTATAGCAATACTGAATGGGCCACGGCTTCCTCGGCCACCATCCTGTGCCAGCTGGCTTTTCAGCTTAATGGTCACTGCCAGAGATGGCTCAAGCTTGTCTGATCTCCAGGGACATCCGATAGCTGTATGGTGAAAGCATGGATGGAGGACACCCTGACCATCTCCTGTGTGCTAGCAAAAATGCAGCTAAATAGCTGCATCAATCTCCTGCTGAGTGCTGACTGCATCCAAGGCGCTGTGGAAAGGTGTATGGGCAGTGTGCATCTCCCGTGGAGCTGGCTCTGAGGGCCACAGACCTCGGGGGGTTTCCTGTGGATGTGGAGCCTCCATCACAGTAGGCATGGGTTGGGCAGCATCCCTCTGGAGAGGATTAGGGAGTCTTGGGCAGTATCCTGAGCACCTTCCCAGCCCTGGGATCCCTTTACTGAGCAAAGAGTAAATGAGTTTGGTGGGTTCTCACCGCCAACATCCTTCGCATTTGCAGTACGTGGGACTAATGTACAGGGAAGGTTTCTCTCCTGCTTAGACAAGAGATTCCCAACAGGGAAGTCCCTGGCGGTCTTACCAGTGGGAACTTTTCTCTTTTGCAGTTACACCTGCATAAACGTGACTGCAGGAGTCTTGCTGACCTCCCAATGCCCAGCCATAGACAGTAGCTTGTGCAAAGTGCACAGATGGTTTCAAATCTACAGGACTGCACCCTGCAAGCATGCATTCTTTGCACTGGCTTTCAGAGACCGCCCCAGAAGCTACCACCAACCTGCAATGTCGACAGTCTGGGTTTGTAACATCCTGGTCCGGCGCCTTGTCTGGCAGGGTGCAGTGAGCCCAGACGCCCCGTGGCCTTTGCATGTGTGATGCCGCAGCAGGGAGCAGCCAGGACCCTCTGTAGCATGAAGCTGGGAAGGCAAAGCCGAGTGCATTCCTCCTTCCTGCTGAGTGACATTGGCATCAGGCCGCTGGTGGGGACTCAGATGGCGGCAACCATGCCTGAGATTGCCTTTTCCCCATTCCCTGTGCCATGGGTGTACCAGCAGGTTGTGGCTGACATCCCACTGGCAGCATCCTTGGTGTAGAGGAGAGGTCTGGTGGTTTACCTGCTATAACCCACCGACTTTCCTTTTCGGACCTGAGCTTTCACATGGGCTTGTGACCATCGGGTAGCCCCCCTCCCCCCCTTATCCCTCTGCAGCCCTGGCACCTTTCACGTGTCCCCAGTCCCCTTCCACGTGTTCAGCAGCAGCATCGGGAAGCAGCATCCCTTGCCTGGCTTCCCCTGCCTCCACATCCCTGTCTCTACCTTTGCCCCATCCTGCTCACAGGACCTGTCTGGAAGGTGTCCCTGTGGCTGGGGCAGGAACGCGAAAACCGTGGTGGCCTGGCCGCACCAAGGCATGAGGAGCTCCCTTGGGATGACTCTCAGCCCCGGGTTGAGCTCAGCATCCTTTTCTGTCTGGGAAAGCGGGCTGGGGAGGGTGTTATCTCCAAAGTTAGGCAGGAAGCCAGGCTTGGTGGTCATATCCCCATGCCTCCCCTGGCAGCCATGCCCACCTGGAGCCATGGCCTCGCTCTGGCTGTTTCCATAACTGGGATTCCCTTCCGATCCTGCTCGCTCCATCATCTCCCTGCTGTGCCAAGCACACCTGGTGCTCCTCTGCCCCACTCCCGATGAGCCAGGGCAGGCTCACACTGCTACACTTTTCCCATGCTGTTGTTTTGTGCAAGATGTGTTTGCTTTTGTCTGTTTTCTTGGCTTCTGTGAACAGCTTTCTCTTCTCTTCCTGCAGGCAGCGTATCCCGTGCTGCTCCGTTTTTACCGGGTCTAACCCACACCAGGGCAGGGGTTGGGCTATAGCCTGGGAGATAAGCTGGTCCCTTGGAAGATGCTGCTGGCTGGTAACCAGAGACTGAAGAAGCTGCTGAGGGTGCTGTGGGGAGGAGGTGGAGGGAGGATTTACGGTGCTCGGGGTGGGGGGGTGTCACGGTCTGGGCTGGCTGGTGCTGCCAGGGCTGGGGGATTGCCCCCTAGGGCTGGGGGATTGCACAGCCCACAGGTATCGGCCACCCATCCTGCCTTTCCCTCTGGTCCCAGCGAGACTGTTGCCCGTGCCTTTGTGCAGAGCAGGCCATGCCAGTGCCCTGCGAGCATGGCTTGATGCTTTCCATTACATGACTGATAGCAGTTCCTTTTTCAGACTTCAGGCTGGAAATGCCCCACCAGGTGCCTCCTGTTGAACTGTGTTTTGGAAAATATCGGAGAAAAAAAGAAACCCCAGTACTATAGTATGTCCGAACACAAAACTAAGGAAAAATATGCTGTTTTGTTGATGGTTCAAAAATCCCTGCAGCTGTTTCAGTGGGCAGGACTGCACGGTGGGGCGGTGGGGGTTGGAGTCATACGATACAAGGCGCTCGTCACCATCCTACCGCGACGCAGCCAGGCTCTGCTCCTTGGAAGAAGCCCTTGCTCACGTGCATGCTTGGGCTGCTCACGGCATTTGAGCACAAGGCTGCCGAGATGGTTGCTGCAAGGATACAGGCTATTTCCCCTTCCAACTCCCCCTGCTGCTGCAGCCAGCATCCTTGCAAGCGTGTTGCAGCACGGGCTACCAGCATTCCCGCCACCGTTTCATACCTCCTCTTCCTTTGGGACAAATAGAAAGCAGCTTCCGGCAGCAAGAGCTAAAACGAAGGTTTGGTTGGATCAAGGCACCCAGAAATAAAAGGAGCGGTTGCCATTTTCTGGCTAAGCACAGGTGAAGGTTGCTGGCGACATGGGGATTTGCAGGGTTGCAAGGGCACCCGATGCCTTGGGTAGACAGGAGGCAGCACCCAGCACCCTGACCCATACACAGCCCTTGCAAACAGCAGCACACGCACTGCAGAGACATACTGTGGAGCTGTCCTTTCTGTCCTGGAAAGAGGGCTGAGGAGGGGTTAACTCCAAAAAAGGGGGCTCAAGAGGGGCTGTGTACAGGTGCATGAAGCTGCTGGCATGCAAGCTTCTGCAGTAGCTACACAGGTGCCCAAGGGTCTTTGCAGAAGCCTGCAGCAGGCAGGAGCTGCTCATGCATCCAGCCAGCTCTGGGTCCGGCCGCACCAGCAGAGCCCAGGTCACAGAGCAGCAGTGTGCCCTGTGCCACCGCTGCAGCATTCTGCGTGGGCTGGAGAAGCAGCCTGGTGCCGGGAGTGCATCTCCTCTCCTCCCCGAAATACCAGGAGCCTGGCTGCTGCCTGCACCAGCACGACTTTTAAATACCGGCAGCCCTGGCCCTGTGGTCCAGTCATGCTCTCTGCTCCTCCAGGTGTTTTTTTTTTAAGGCATGGGAGTCTCAGCTAGAGAAAAGGCAGTAGGTGAACATGTCTAGAAAGCCTAAGCTTCACCCCTTTGGCTTGGGGGTGGCTCACCAGCTGTGGAGGGACTGACCCAGGAAAAAAGGAGACACTGCCTTGGCTGCCGCACAGGGAAGGCCAGAGATGCTTGTGGTCCTGCAGAACCCAAAACAAGCCCAGGAAAAACTGCCCCTAATTTGAAGCAGTGAAAGCCTGCAGTGTGCATATCCCCCAAAAGCAGATCTCAGGGTGGGGAGAAGCTCTCCCACAGCTGCCATCCACCCTCTGCAGGTAGTAGGATGCTCCAGGGCTTCCAGCTCCCCCAAAGCTCATCACAGACAGCTCCACAGCTTCTTCATTCCCAGGCTTGGGGAAGTTTGGCCTCACTCGGTACAGCCCATCTCTGGCTCCTTTCCCCAAGCCCTGGCCCCTGCTCAGGCCAAAGCATGCAGCTGGAGGGGGCTGAGAGCAGGCACTAACCCCCGCTTTGAGTCTGGGACAGCAAAGCACAGCCCATGGCCAGATGGCTGCCCAGTAACTCCAAGCGAGACAGGAGCAAGAACAGTTATGATTTAATCACCACCATTCTCTGCAAATCCAGTGTACAGCAGAGCCGAGCTGTGGTCCGGCTCCTGGTGCTTCCACAGCCCCTGCCCCTGCCCGCAGCACCGATCTGGTCCTTGACTGCAGGGACTGCAGGCAGGGCAGGAACAGTACAGGGATGAGGCTTGGCCAGCTCCCCTCACCCCTTCTGCCCCACTGGACATGTGCCTGAGGATGGACAACCCCAGGCAGCTTTGGCTTGGCTTAGCCTGGTGGGATGGGGGGAGAGCCTGGTCCTGCCCAGGACCTGCCCAGCTCTGGTCCATGCAAAGCTGGTAAGGAACCAGGTAGTGGCTGCCCTGGGACAGGCAGCAGGGATTCATCCTGCCCCTACCCAGTGACTCTTCACAGGTCACTGTGGCCTCTGCTCTGGCATCTGCCTCTGTGGAGCTGGAAGAGACCAAGCCCCGGCAGAGGCTGGAGGAGCTTGTTCCCAAGCCACCCAGCCTACCCTGGCACGAAGCGGGCAGCCAAATCTCCCTGTGCAATCCTGCGAGGGGAAAACCCCAGGACCACCGAGGCAGGGGAGCCCCAGCATCTCCCCTGAGACAGCCCGGGGCAAACACAGCCCAAGAGCCACTGGGGCGGCAGAGGGACATCCCTCGGGGCAGTGCCAGCTAGGGCAACCCTACAGCAGTGACCTCCAGAAGGTCTCTGTGGTTCCAACAGCAACAAGGACATGTCCCCTCCCAGGGCAAAGGGTGCTGAGGAGGGGGGGAAAACTGCAGTAGAACTAGGATGGGGAACAGCAGTAGTGGTTACAGATGAAGGCACAGGAGCCCCTGGGCTGGATGCCAGGGTTGGGGTTAGTGGTTGGGGCTGAAGAGGCTCCCTGTGAGGAGCCGCCTCTTGACCTCCCTCCAGAGAAGGTCCCGCTCCCGGTTCGCCCTCTGCATGAAGCCCCTGTTCTCCTGGGCCCTGCGGGACAGGTAGGGCAGCACCTCGTTCACCGGGCCATAGGGCACATACTTGTAGACAGGGAAGCCGGCCTGACCTGGAGGGAGAGAGGCTGGTCAGGAAAGTACCAAGAAAGCAAAAAAAAAAAAAAAAACAAAGGGGAGGAAAAAAAAAAAAAAAGGAAAAAGGGGGGGAATAAAAAGAGGGAAAAAAGAAGAAGAAAAAAAAAGGGAAAAAAGCCTCTTTCACCTCCCAAGCTCTCCTGCGCCCCTCGGGCTGTGCCAATGGAGTGAGGGATGGTGGGCAGGAGGGTTGCAGCAGCCAGAGGCTGCGTTTGAGCACCAGGGAGGGGAAGCCTGGGAGCAGCCCCGGCCAGACGAGGCCGAGCCTGCCCAGGCAGGAGTGGCAGCACTTCCCTCCCCATCTCAGCACAGGGAGCTTGGGAACGCGCCGGGGGGAGCGGGCCGAGGTCACCAGGAGCCCTGGGAATGTCGGCAGCCAGGGCTGGGCCAATTCAAGAAGCATTCAACCAGAAACATCAAGTTAACACATTTTTCCAGCATGACCAGAGGAGGTTGCAGACAGGCAGCCAAACCCCGCTCGCGAGGGGAACTCCAGGACAGAGCAGCATCCGCGCTGGACAACTGCCCAGTCCGCCTCTGGCTGCTCTCCTGGCCTCTGGTCTCTGCTCCGGACACTGATGCGGGCAGGGAGATCAGTCCCTGACCTGAGCTGGGCTACCTGGACCTTTGTGTGCCCCTCTGTCCAGGCCCCAGAGAGCTCTCCTCCATTGCCTGGGCCAGCAGCAGAGGAGAGGACAAGGTCACGCAAGAGGCTGTTGCCACCCCGGTAGCGGAGAGCCCAGGACTTGGTGTGCACCTCCAGTGGAGCAGAGTGATGCTCCCAGACCAAGGAGGTACAAGAGGGGTTTGCTGGCTGCCAGCATCAGTCTCTGCCCCACCTAGGAGCACCCTGATCTCAGCTCATAGTCCAAAGCAGGAATCTCCCTGCCCAGCTGTCACGGTCTCATGGGGCCTCCAGGAGACAGATGTGATTCTCCATCTACATCCTCATCCACATCCTCCCCAAACCCCATGCAAGGGTCACAGCACTCCACACAGCTGGGGAAGAGGCAACAAGGCACTCTCCTCAGCCAGCCCTGCTCTCTGAGAGACCCGTAGCCTGGCTCCATCCATCCTTCAGACCCCACCACAGCTGCTCAGGGAGACCCCAGGGGTCAAGGTGGGGCAGGAGCACATCTACCAAGTCCCCCCTGCTCCCAGCACTCACCCAGGGGGAAGGTGATCTGGTCACACATGCCCAGCAGCTGCCCAAAGTATACCTTCTTCTCCGAGGGATGGATCCCAAGCTCCATCATCCTGCAAGCCAAGCGTTGGCATTAGGGAAGAGCGGAGACAGCGGAGTACACAGGGGCAGCATATCCTACCAGAGGAGCAGGGATCATCTCCCAGTACAAAAGCATGGCACTGACCACATCCCAGATGGATGCTGGGATGCGAGGACTTGAGGGATTTGTTTTTAAAACAGATTCTGGTTTGGGGAATGGGGCCAGCTCTGCAGCTGCTGTGGGCTCCCATGCTGTGTCCCAGCTCCGAGCCCCAGCTGAAGCCCTGAGCACCAGATGGGAGCTAGGATCCCACCAGGTGAGCAGAGAGGAGACCCGACAAGCCATAGCACATCTCACCGCAGCTCTGCTTGGCCCCCCCATCCCTCAAGCCCCCAGCCCCTGCCACTCCATGCTGCCTCCCCAGCACCCACCTGCGTAGGGTGAACTTCACTGTGTCCTCATTGTGAGATGCCACCATCACGTTGGCTTTCCGGTTGTGCTTGATCTCCTCCAGGATATAGTCCAGGCACCTGTAAGACAGTACGACGCTGCATGGTGAAGCCACTCAAGCCCACGACCCAGGGAGGGAGGAGCGTGGCTGGGGCTGTCCTCTACCTGTGGTACATCTCATTGGTCTTCTCGTAGGTGGGGTTGATGGGATCCTCATAGCCAATTTGGGCTGCCCTTTCCCGCTCCTGCTCCATGTAGGCGCCACGGACCAGCTTGGTGCCAAAGTGCCAGCCCTCCCGGCGTGACAGCTCCACATCCACTGTCACGTTGTCGTAAGCCTCCTGGGACCAGATGGAAGAGATGGCACAAGGTCATCGCACCAGTGCCACCTCTGCCCTGCGCCTTCAGGTACCCAGCCCCAGAGTTGTGCCACTGCATGGCCATGGCTTCAGGAGCCGAGGTCTCCATCCAGCTGCTCCAGCAGGTCCTTCCTGCCTAGCCTCTTGTCCAACCTCACCTTCAGGTAGCACTGGTAGGTGTTGAAGATGATCGCCCGATCCCTGTTGAAGCGGCGCTGCATCTCCAGGGTGAGGCGGCTGATGGCTGGCTGGAAGTAGCTCTGCTCTGCATCCACCATCAGCCTTACGCCCTTCTCCGTGGCTCTCTGGGGGTGAATAACACGCAAGTTGGGTTCATGGGGCCACCTGCTACATGTCTCCCCCTCTGTGGCAGCGCCCATGCCCAGCTCCCCCAGCCCCAGCATCCCCTTACCTTGGCAAGGACATCCATCCGCTGCAGCATCCGCTTCATCTGCAGATCCTCCTCCTCGGTGAAGCGCGAGAGCAGTGGCTCGAGCTGCCCAGTCTGAAACAAGAACAGCTTGTGGTACCCTGCCTGCCTGCCTGCGGCCAGCCCTGCCCGTGGGAGACAGAAGCACCCTCTGGAAGGGAGCCCATCCCCAAGGCTGCTGCCCACCCCAGCTCCCCCACTGGCCAGCACAGCATGCACAGGGTGCCCACCCTGCCAGCTTGGTGGCCGCACGCACTGAATCACAGCATGGCCAGGCTCTGGCAGCACAGATGCCAGCCAGCACTGCAGCCACCAGCAAGCTACCGGGCAGGGCTGGGGACAGCGGACCCACACATTGCTCCCCCAAACTCCCAGTGCCCTCCTGGTGGGGCTGCTCGGGGGGTGGCATAGATGGGTACCCACCTGCATGTTGGGGACAAGCAGCAGCTTGGAGAGTTTGGTGCGGCTGTCAATCAGGCTGTTCCAGTCCAGCAGGTCCACAGTGCTGGGAGCAGAGTGCCAGGTTCGTACTGGTGGTTTGCAGGGGCAGGGGGGGTCTCTACCAGCTCCCAGCCCCCACCACCAAGCAGGGTGCATGGCATGAGCCACCCTGACCTGTCTTGTCACCTCCACCCAAACCTTCTCTATGCTTGGTCGCTGTGCTGAGCCAGCGCTGGCCTTTGGAGACCTCCCCTTGCTGCTGCCCCACTGCCCCAGGAAGAGGGACAAGGTGCCCACGCATCCCCATCCCGCAGCACCCCCCAGGTCACAGGCAGCTTACCCACTCATGCCCAGGTTCTCGCCCGTGAACCAGTGCTGGCTCTCCGCCTTGGTCGCGATGCCGAGGTTGGCCAGGGCCTCCTGCCACCGAAAGGAGCATCAGTGCTAAGGGGCTACAGGGGTCTTACTGCTCCAGGCTCAGAGGCATCATGCGTCAGGGCTGCTCCGGGACCTCTACAGCCACCAGCTACCCCCAGCAGCACAACCTCCTCCCTCGGACATCACCCGCCTCACCTGCAGCTTCTCTGCCTCCAGCTTCATCTCCAGCGCTGCCCGCCCAGCCTGGCCCTGCTCCGCAGCCATTTGGTGGAAGAACCTCCGCCACTTCACCAGCACCTCCGAGAACTGCAGCTGTGGGGACAGAGCTTGAGGTGAGACGGAGCCTCCTGTCCTGCCAGGGCTTTGCAAGATCATACCCAGCCTGAGGCCAGGGCCAAGCCTAACAGACACCCCCCCCCCCATGTTGGGACCTTTAAACTTTTGAGCTCTTCATGCATCCCAAAAAGTTGAGGCAGGGTCTCCAGGGTGGTCTTGGGCACACAGGGGACAGCCTGTTGGTGCCCACTCCTCTCTGCCATCAGTAGAGATGCCACTGCAGCAAGCCTGGCACCCCAAAGCACCTGCCCCTGCAGATGCATTACCTGCAGCTCTGACCCCCCTCACCCTGGTCACAGCCCTTGCACTCACCAGGAACTGAGGTCTGCCCAGTGCTGTCAGCTTGATGGCCGAGAAGCCGTTCTCCGAGCTGCCACCTGGATGGAGCCACAAAGAGAGAGCTAGCCTGACAGGCAGGGTGCTCAGGCAGAAGGAAGGTGGTGGTCTCGAACACCTGAGATATGGTGGTGGGCTGCAGGGTCCCTGCAGTCCCCAAGCACAGTGGGGCTGCTCAGGACACGTGGAGCACTTACCTGAGGCATCGATACAGCGGAGGAAAGTCTCCATGTGCTGGTCACACTTGGCCTCGTCAGCATAGAAATATGTGCGGGCGCTGATGACCCCACCGCGGCGGTCTCCAAATCCCCGATGGGCTCGGTATTGCTTCTCCCTTTGTTCTGCTCCTGGGGTGGAAGAGGACGGAGATGGGCCATGCAGCCCTGCTGAGCTCCTACAAGATTCCCCAGGAGCTTCTGCCGTGGACATAGGGAAAGGGGCTCCGGCTTGGACCTCAGAAGAGCCTCCAAGGGCTGCAAGGCACCCTGCCTGCTCTGTTGCCCGAGCAGAGGCTGAACCTTTGCTGAGGAGCAGGGTTGCCCAAGAACAAAGATGTTCCTCATCCAGCTCATGATTTGAGTCTGTGGGAGCTGGGTCCTTCCCCCACAGCAGGCCTGCAGTGCCCAGATCATCTGGACCTTTAGACTATCTCCTGTCAGCAGGAGAGGCTGGGTCACTCACCTCCCATCTCCTTCTCGGCTGCAGAGGTGCAGGAGCTAAGAAGAGAAACAGGGAAGATAAGGGCCAGGTCAGCAACTCCCTGCAACCCCCCGCTGATGGCCAGGGCAGCTCTGAGGCTTCCCTGCTGCCAGCCTGGCACTGGACCCTGCTCTTCCCTCACCATCCCATCGCCAGTGGATCAAACGCTGCTCAGCATGAGCTCCACTGGCAGGTCAGATGCCCCAGACCCCCTCATGGAAGGCAATGGGGTTTCAACATCCGGGAAAGTGTTACCTGGAGGCCCTGAGGCAGCACAGGGGAGGATGCTGTTCCAGGGTCCAGAGCTGCTCTCAAACAGCCCACCCCACAGCAAGGACAAGGTCAGCCCTGGTGGGGCTGGGTGTTCCATCTCCAACCATGCCAGCCCATGGTCCTCACTGTGGTGGCACCAAGCCTCAACCCAACACCTTGCCACCTTGCAGGCACCAGCAGCCAGACCATGAAGCAAGGAGCTCCTGCAGACCCAGGGTGCATCAAGCCATAGGATGTCCTGCTGCAGCTCAGCTGCCCTGCGCTCCTCTGTGCCTTGGCATTAGCCAACAACTCACAAACAAACAAGGTCTCAGCTTCAACTCCAGCTGACCTTGGATGTAATTTCAAGCTCAAGCTCTTTGCCACAGGGATAACAGGGCTCTGACAGCCTGGGGGATTCTGGCCAAGTCACGAGATCCTCCTTGAGCTTGAGCAGCTAAGCCTTCTTGCTGACACCCTAAATCCAGCCTGCAGGACCCAGTGTCTCACCCAGGAACACTGCCAGCCCCTGCAGAGCAGCCCTGAGTGACAGCAGAGCCATGTCCTCCAGGAGGTCTCTGCCTTGGAGTCACCATCCCAAAACTGGCTGGGCCCAACAGTGGGGAAGCACACTGCGAGGCAAGCAGCAAAGTCACCCGTCCGGATCCAGCGGACTCGCACAAGAGAGCAGACAGGCACGTGGCATGGTCCCAGAACATGTTCTCCCACATGGAAACCCTGAGATAGGGATTAGGGGCTGCTGGAAGCATAAACAAGCGGAGACAAGCCCTTCCCTCCTGCTCCCTGGAGCCAGGAACAGCCCCGCATTGCCCAAAGTGCAGCAAAGCCTGGCGTGAACGGGGACAGGAGCAGCCAAAGCTCATGGGGAGCAGCAGGCACCATGTCTAGCAGGCTCCACTCTGTGATTTTGCTACCCTGAGGACAGGTCAAGAAGCTTTCTGCCCCTGAAAACAGAGGGTGGAAGAAAGGAAAGAGGAGACATCATACGCCCAGCGATGGGATACGGCAGCAAAGTCTGCAGTGGATGGAAGCTCCCCTCGGAGCAGGCAGTGTGGCACAGGAGAAGACTTCAGCTGGACACACTGCTGCGACTCTGAGGACATGTTGAGAGCGATGGGTCCTGTGGGCAGGTCGCAGCTGCAGCACAGTGGGACAGCTCTGAATCCCAAAGCACACCTTGCATCCCACATCTGAGATGCTGGGGACAAGCAGCAGGGAGCAAAGCCTTCTCTGACCTACTCAGGGTGAACGAACACAACTCAATTAGCAAACGGCACCCTTGAATTTGAAGTGTTTCGTGTTCCTGAAGACAAACACACCCTTTCCAGCAGCATTCCTGCTGCATGACTGCACTGAGCCCTTAGTCCCCGAGGGGGGCATTCAAAGCAGTGCCATGGTGCTCACTTTATTGTTCTGCATCAAGCAAAATAAAGGAAGCTGCTTCCAGCTGAAGAAATAGCTCCTCCTGGATATCATCTGCTTTCTTTGCAATATTAGTCTTGGCCAGCAAAGCCATTCCTACACCAACCAAGTGCCACTTAACCCAGCTTAGACACTGCCATCCCTTCTGCAAACTGAGAACAAGTCTCCCAGAGCAGGACACATCTCTAGGCACTGCCCAAACACTTCTGGCAGGCTGTAACCAGAAAGGAGCCACCTCCAAGGCACGCTCAGAACCTGGGAGCTCACACTTGCCCAAAGCATGCACAAGGCAGACCCTCCAAGTGCTGCAAAGCAGGTTATGAAGACCCGAAGCGGTCTGCTGGCTTGTAATCCAGCTGACAAAGCAGACTAGGGCTTTCAGGAAGTTTTTTTTATCAGTCTCAAATAAACTGTCTCAGGAGAAGCACAAAGGTCCCCCTGTCAGAAATAAGTAGGCAATAATCCATTTCGCCCTGGAGGTTACCAGGAAGGTGCCATGAGCGCAGCATATTTGCTTTGCTCGTCAGCAAATGGGTCTGGCAAAGCGGATGAGGGAACACCAGGAAGAAGTTCTCCCTGAATGACCACATGCAAGGAAAAACTCATGGTCACATGAAGCCCAGCCCAGAGCTATGGGTGATGCTTAAAACCCTGCAGGTAGGAATAAAGCAAAGCTCTTGGCAGAAGAGTCCTTCACCCCTGCCCCATGCAGGAGTTACCAGCACGCACCAGCCCAGGACCACCGCAGGACCTCCTTGCCCAGCTTCCAGCTAAACAGAAACCACCCTGTGATCTCAGGGACCTGTGGCACATGCAGGCAGAGCACTGGGCACAGGTGGCAGCAGCACTGGGAGTGGGAGGAGAAGGGGAGACAGTGGCTCTGGGAGGCAGATTGGCCAGGCTGGATTGTAGTCCCACGCTGGGGCAGGTATTAGGTGTCCACAGAAGAAAACTCTAGAGGAAGTAAAGTCCATGTACTGCATGGCAGAGCCATTCAGGGTTTCTGCCAGCACTGGGGGGCAGGATTGATCTTCCCCATGTCAGCACAAGCCCAACCCATCTCCTGGCTTGGGATGCCCATGGGTCAGCATTGGTTCCAAGGCTGCAAAGGGACCACAACAACCTCCACTATGGGGCGGGGGGGGGTAGCTCCTTGTTTCACTCCTTGGGGAACAGAAGCCCCTGCCCAGCCGCAGTGCTGCCTCTCCACACACCCCCCAGGGCTGCACCCATCCCAAAGGCCACAGCGCACGGGCTGCCCCGGGAGCAGAGCAGCACCCAGGCTCTGCTGCCCGCAGGACACCTTTCTCCAAGCTGTGTCACCATGACCTGGCAGCAGCCTTCAGCACGTGGCCAAGGACTCCTGGGACAAGCTGGCAGAGCTCTGGATGCCAGCCCAGGCAGGGCAGGGCAGGTATGAGCCTGCAGCAGGCAGGATAAGCTGGTGCCTGCCTGCATTGCATTGCTGTTCCCTGCCAGAAAGCCCATGACAAGGAGTGACCAGGGCCCATTGCTGGGGAAGAAAGGGCATTTCCCTGCTGTGATCTCCAGCTTGCTCCAGAAGAGCAGGCTGCACTGGTAAGCCCAGCACGACTCTGCCTGCAGGACTGGGGAAAACAACAGCAGATGGCACCAGGAGGCCAAAAAACCCACTGGCTGCATCTGGTTTGTACCTCTGCTTCCCAGCTGGCAGCAGGGTAAAGCCCCCAAGTGCTCACAGGAGGGAAGGACACAGCTCCAGAGTCCAGCAGCCACGAGCCCTGGACCACTCACCCCCTCTTGACTACACGCAGCCCAGCTCAGCACCATTCCTGGCAGAAGCACTGGTAATTTGGGGGTTTGCCCCTGAACAGGGCCAAGGAGGACCCAGAGCGATGCTTGGCCTGGGCCAGGGTCCAGCACAGCTCTTCTAATGCCACCCACACCTCCCCTGGGCTTTGTACCCGCTCTGTGACATCCCTGGGTGACCTCCAGGATGGGGTTTACCACCCCCCCCCCCCGTAGGTTGGAGCAAATCCCTCTGGGGCTGGGGCAGGGTGGCATTGAGGAACGGGGTCCAGCATGTGGCTTTGCTGAGCTTTCTTGAGTGGGAATGACCCATGCAGCACAGGCAGAGCTCATCTAGCAAGGGGTCCCACACACACAACTCCCAAATCTGCTTGGCGGGGGGGGAGGGGGGGCATGTGTGACAGACAACGACACACCAGCACAGGCCGGACAGCTCACAAACCAGCATTCGCCCCCGCCATGAGCAGGCAGGATGCAGGTGCAGGCAGAGCCTGCCTGGAAAAGCCCTCTCGGTGGTCAACCACAGGAAAGCACCTGGCACAGGCACAGCCAGACCAAGGAGGGCAGCAATGCCAGCCCGGCACCACCAGTACTGCCAGCTCAGCCCCACAGGGATGCTGAGTAGCATGCCTGGACCATGACTGCGTGCCCGGGGAAGAAACCAGCAGCTCCTGAAAATACTGCTGCTCTGTGCCTTCAAAACAGCCACCCCTGCCACGGGCTGCAGCAGGGTATTTTGAAGCTTTTATATAAAAAACAAAGTTTGCAGCTCAATCTGCAAGGGCAGATCCCCCCCATGCAGCTCCCACCCCAGCTGTCTGTGGACAGGCAGGACCTTCATGCTGATGGGGATTTCTAGCAGCAACGGCTGAGGGGCAAGCCGGGGTCCCTGATAAGCAGCGCCTCAGTGGGGAGCAGAGATAAGGCTCCCTGTGGCAGCTGGGAGGAGTCCAGGAGCAGCACCTGCATCGCCACACTGACCTGAAACCCCACTTGCAAATGACCCCAAAAAGCCGTTTCCGCTGGATTTCCAACACCGTTTTACAAGTGTGTGGCAGCTGGACCGTGTCCCCGGCTGCGAACAGGGACACGGGGCTGTTGCAGCCTTGCCCGGGGGAGCTCTGCATCCTCAGCCTGCACCCTTTGGCAGGGCCACCCTTATCCTGGGTGGGCGGGGGGGACACCACCCACCCCGGTAACCGTGGGGTGCCAGCCAGCGTCCCATTGATTGGGTGAGTGGAGCCACCCGAAACTGGAGCCCAAATAGTGGAAAGTTACCGGTGGCTTTGGGCCGGTGCCTGCCCTTGGCCACGGGCCGGAGGCAGGGAAGGCTGCCCGGCATGGGGGGCGGGGGGCGGTGCGAGAAGGGGTATGACAGGACAGACACCATCCCGGCTTGAGGGGGGTGGAAATGGTGGGGGGCAGCACCCCAGCGTGTGTATGGTGGGGGATAGAGGGGGCAAGGATCC